TACGCTGGCTGCTGCATGTTCTTAAACACTTTAAACCGTTTATTCCGTTCTCCGCAGGAGTTTGAAGATCTGGATGAAATCACCGCTCGGTACATTCAGCCAATGGCCTCATTTGCTCGGGATCTGCTGGGGCATAAGTACTTCCAGGAGTGCCACGGGGGAACCAAGGAGGTACATACTGATTAAGTGTCCTGAGTATTTTGTCTTTTGGCTGTAATTCATCCCGTTGCACGACCTGTTTTTACCATATCTCCTTATGTTCTCTTGTTTTCTCTCTGATAGAAAATGGAGGAGTTATTGGTCAGGACAAAGAGGGAGAAGCCAACTTTTATTCCATACTTTATTTCGGCATGTAAAGATCTGCCGGGAAAATTCATACTGGGCTACCAGCCTCGCGGAAAACCACGGTGAGCGGAGATGTTAAAACATAATTGTCAGCAAACAGCAGACGATGCCATTCAGTGCTGTCAATAGTCATGAATCACAGTGACATATGGTGACATGCAAAGCTCCATAGCTACTACAGAGGCACATATTTACAAATCTTAATCTTTCTGAGTCATGTCGTACTTGTCGGGCCGAATTACTCAACAGCACCCAATTCTTATCCGCTCTCCCACACAGCTGCTCCACTGCCAAGTGTTTTTTTATTAGATGCTTACTGATTTGATTGACAACAAGGTTTACATACTTGTAGAACTGAACATGCCATCTCTTTTTCTTTTTTTTTATAGAGTTGAGTTTGTAACCATCACCCCAGATGGCTTCCGCTACCGTTCACAGATATTTCCTACAGTGAACGGGCTATTCCGCTGGTTTAAGGACCATTACCAAGAGCCTGTGCCAGGTATAGGAACACTATACTTACTGTTGTAGCGTTTGTTAAGACAATTGAAATATATTGTGAGTTATCCTGTAACATTTTATCCTGTTGTCAAAGGTATCACTCCCAGCAACAGCAGCCGAACAAGGACACCTGCATCCCTGAACGCCACCCCAGCCAATATCAACATCGCAGGTGAGTCC